GAGAGAGAGAGAGAGAGGAAGCCGGTTGACAACGCCTAAGTTCGCTCTCGTTTTTTATGAGCAACGCATGGACCCTGGAATTTGGTGTTTCCGATGGTGTTTTTTTCTTTTAGCAGGACCCTGAAGGTTACCCAAACGGCAGTTTCTTGAAGAGAAATAGTATATATGGTGGAGAATTGCTGTATTGGTGAATATGAACGTTTCAAGACACCATAATCTTGTGGTGATTTTGTCGGAATAATAATCGCAATCAATGGCTAAGGGTAATTTCAGACGGAACGGCCTGGTATTCGCAACTGCGCTAACGTGTATAGCCGCACTGGTCGCGGGTCTAGTGCTAGCGATCGTAGCGGAAAGAGAAGCCGTAACCCTCAAGAAGGGACCTAAAACGTACAAGACGGTCACTACTGGCCAATGGTCAGATGCCCAGTATCCCAGAATCCACTCCAGTTGCGACAGCACTGATGTGGATTATATCACTAAGGCATTTGCTGACACCCATGACGTCACTTCTTACGCAAAGGAGCAGTTATCACACAAGAACAGTGTTGATTCTGAGGTCTACAAGCGTTGGTTTGGTGACGGTAAGCTATATGAGGTTTTAGGTGTAGTGGAGGGTTTGGCTAATATCTCGAAAACTAATCTACTTCTGCGCTGTGACGACGCGGATGGATTATGTGCGAAAAATCCAAACTACTACGCCGGCTACCACCGTGAAGCCGATATGTTCGAGACTGTAATCTGCGACTACTTTTACGAGGCCCGTGTACCACTAACATCCATGTGTACTAAGGGAAATATCACTCAATATGGGCCTACGAAATATGCGGGTATCGACTTATTGCATCGTTACTTCCACATCTCGAGCATAAGCCAAAACGAATTTATCGGAGAATTCACTGACGACTTAGACGAAACTCTTGACTTGGCAGAACATAATTCGACTTTCGCCGTTAGGAATGTTGACAATTATCTTTACTTTTTGGCAGATGTTTGGGGCAACAAAGTCAAAAGTGGTGGTTGTTTCGATAACTGATGAAAAAAGATGGATTCCGAGGTCTGCAGTCTCTGGTCAATATACACTTATACGTTAAAGCTACAGGTTGAACTTCGTAGCATAGTTGTTGAACTCTAGCAGAACATAAACGCGAACATATAAAACATAGAATAGTTTCATTTTTGATCTTCACAAGACGAAAGGTCGGTCCGATGTGTTCCAATTGATTGAATTTTATTACTAAGATATTATATATCAACCTTTGATATTCCATTGAATGGATTAGTTGACGTTAGTTACGAAGGATCTTAATAACATAACATTTTATGCCAATTAAAACTGTTTACTCAGCTCGAACAGGGATTTGAAAAAGCATTGAAGAAACACACAAGGTATCGCTGCTCTATAAAAGAAATGGATGCTGCAGTCCGGTGCCATTGCAATATGAATGTCAAGGGATATTAATTTGCGGCACCTTAACAACTTAGGAATAAAAATATTCGCGTACGGAGGAAAGCAAGAGGAAACATAAAAGTCTGTTCTCTTGAATTTTTCAATGCGATGATTGATGAAACGACCAAGCCTAAAGAATTTACGCTCACTGATTGTCGAAACAAAGTATACATATGTTAACACAGCTGGATGATCTATTAAAAATTACACAAGAAGAGTGAACTAAAAGCCGTCATACATCTAATTAAGGAACTGGCGAGAAACCCATCCATCATAGAATCTTTTTAAAGTCTCCCAGGGCGCGCTTCATCATTTAGTACCGTAGCAGTGAAAATATTAAACGAAATCCTTAGACATTGTAGACACTTTACCTTTTGTATGCGCCGTCGCTAATACGGTCTCCTTTAGATAGGCTTTCGACCTGCGCACGTTTTTGTTTCTGGCGATATTCCAACTTTCTTCACGATCACAACAGAAAGCTACTGGGAAACATCAAATAAATTCCGTACTATCTTCTAAGATACATTACTTTTGTGAGCATCAGACTTCGGAGCAGTCCAACGGGAAATTAAATTCATGCTTGCTTTAGAATATTACATATAATACATTGTGACCTGAAATCAGGTTACATACAGCCATCAGAAGTAAAGCCTTACAGGTTCAACCGCTGGTTATCAAATCAAAGCTAATGGAAGAGCAAATAGCAGGCCTAGTCTCAATTTGTTGGCTCCCCCTTCATAGGTAGAAACATTGACAAAGGACGAGGGCTGAGAGCTAAAAGAGATCGATGACGAAGCACTCAAAGAGCTAACACCCTGTGTAATTTGAGATTGAGTTGTGAGAGCAGGTTTTGTGCTCGCTGATCCAGCCGTTTGAGAAGCAACAACGGCAGAGGTTGTGGTTCCGGGTGGTAAGGAAGTTTCTACGGGTGGGAGCGGCGAGTTTTGGCTCGAAGAAAGGGCTGACCCACCCATTGGGTTTGAGGGTTGAATAGTGATTGTTGAGGACGCAACCGAGCTCAAGCTTGTCGTAGTCCTAGTTAGAACTGTTCCCGTTAGGGTATCATGACTTTCGGTAAAAGCGCTGGTCGTTGGCAAGTCCGATGCTGCTTGGGAATTGCTTGCAGTATGAGTCGAAGGTGTTGAAGAAATTTCGTCGGTTCTAATTGGGGTATCAACGGAGACTTCAGAATTCCCAATAGCAGTGGTCGTACCGGAAACAGCTCTTCCTGTGGATACTAGCGCAGTTGCTTCTGGTGTCGTGGATACACTTTCACTACTGCTTTGCGACTGTAAAGTGGTTGCAGTTTGGCTCACCGTAATATGTGAAATCTCGGGAGTTGGGGAGCTTGTTTCTGTGAGCGATGTTGGTGCAGAGGAAACACTTAGTTCCCCAGTTGTTGAAGTAGTCATCAAAGTGGTTGTCGTGGACTGAGTGGTGGTTGCAACTTCTGTATTGGTCTTTGAACCCGATACGGAAATGCTGTCAGTCTCACTCTTTATGCTTTGAACACGATCTGATAATGCAGGTGAGGTGCTAGAGTGTTCCTCCTTTGACATTGTAGTGACGATGGTATTCTGGGACGACTGCACAGTAGTAGAAAAACTTTCATCAGTCTTTAAACTCGATGCTGAGCTGCGTGTGGCACTTGTTGAAGAGCTTGACTTTTCGACGCTTGTAGAAGAGGTTTCAACTTCAGTAGAGGCGCTGGATACCAAGCTAGTAGGGGTTACAACTTCAGTAGAGGAGCTGGAGACCGAGGTAGAAGAGGTTTCCACTTCAGTAGCGGCGCTGGATACCAAGCTAGTAGGGGTTGCAACTTCAGTAGAGGCGCTGGATACCAAGCTAGTAGGGGTTACAACTTCAGTAGAGGCGCTGGATATTAAGGTAGAAGAGGTTTCCACTTCAGTAGCGGCGCTGGATACCAAGCTAGTAGGGGTTGCAACTTCAGTAGAGGCGCTGGATACCAAGCTAGTAGGGGTTACAACTTCAGTAGAGGCGCTGGATATTAAGGTAGAAGAGGTTTCCACTTCAGTAGCGGCGCTGGATACCAAGCTAGTAGGGGTTGCAACTTCAGTAGAGGCGCTGGGTACCAAGGTAGAAGAGGTTTCCACTTCAGTACTGCCGCTGTGCGAAGTTTGAGTAACGGGTACTGGCTGGCTAGATTTGCGTTCAGTGGAGGAAATGATTGACAACGAAGAAGCCGACAACGATGAAGGTGAACTAGTAGTGGATTGTAGGGACGAAGTAGCTGACAACTTCGAAGTAAAACCAACAGATGTGCTTGAAGGGGTAGCGGCTGAAGAGTTGGCGAAATATGGTAAGTTAGGAGTTTCCACGTAAAATAAGGTCTCGGCAGTTGGATTCCCGTCACTGCCGGTGAATGTAGCTACTTCGGTGGAAAATGTACTCGTGAAGCGGCCGGTCCAGGCGGTAAAGGTTGTGGAGACCAAATTACCTGTTCTCACGCTGGCAGTGGAAGAGATAGCGGTAACAGGCGTCTCTACAAAGTAAATAGTCTCGGTTGTTGGAGTGCCATCGGATCCAGTGAAAGTGGTGACATCAGTGGAATATGTTGAGGTAAAACTACCAGTCCATGTAGTGAAAGTTGTAGATTCAATACCAACTGTTGGTGTTTCGACATAGTAGATGGTTTCCGTGGTTGGGATACCGTCAGATCCAGTGAAGGTAGAAACGTCAGTCGAGAAAGTCGAAGGTCAAAGCACCAGTCCATGGAGTGTAGACAGTAGACTGCGCGTTACCGGTTGGAGTCTCGACATAGTAGATGGTTTCCGTGGTTGGAATGCCATCAGATCCAGTGAAGGTAGAAACGTCAGTCGAGAAAGTCGAGGTCAAAGTACCAGTCCATGGAGTGTAGACAGTGGACTGCGCGTTACCGGTTGGAGTCTCGACATAGTAGATGGTTTCCGTGGTTGGAATGCCATCAGATCCAGTGAAGGTAGAAACGTCAGTCGAGAAAGTCGAGGTCAAGGCACCAGTCCATGGAGTGTATACCGTGGAGTTGACACCAGCTGTTGGAGTCTCAACGTAGTAGATGGTTTCCGTGGTTGGGATACCGTCAGATCCAGTGAAAGTAGTGACATCAGTCGAGAAAGTCGAGGTCAAAGCACCGGTCCATGGAGTGTATACGGTGGAGTTGACACCAGCTGTTGGAGTCTCAACGTAGTAGATGGTTTCCGTGGTTGGGATACCGTCAGATCCAGTGAAGGTAGTGACATCAGTCGAGAAAGTCGAGGTCAAGGCACCAGTCCATGGAGTGTATACCGTGGAGTTGACACCAGCTGTTGGAGTCTCAACGTAGTAGATGGTTTCCGTGGTTGGGATACCGTCAGATCCAGTGAAGGTAGTGACATCAGTAGAGAAAGTGCTAGTGATAGAGCCAGTCCATCCGGTGGTGGTAGTGGAGTTCACTCCCATAACTGGGGTTTCGACGTAGTAGACAGTCTCGGTAGTTGGAATACCATCAGATCCGGTGAAGGTGGTGATATCGGTGGAGAAAGTGCTAGTGATAGAGCCAGTCCATCCGGTGGTGGTAGTGGAGTTCACTCCCACAACTGGGGTTTCGACGTAGTAGACAGTCTCGGTAGTTGGAATACCATCAGATCCGGTGAAGGTGGTGATATCGGTGGAGAAAGTACTTGTGAAAGATCCAGTCCATCCAGTAGTCAAAGTAGAGTTGACATCAGCAGTTGGAGTTTCAACGAAATAGATAGTCTCGGTAGTTGGAATACCATCAGATCCAGTGAAGGTGGTGACATCAGTAGAGAAAGTGCTAGTGATAGAGCCAGTCCATCCGGTGGTGGTAGTGGAGTTCACTCCCACAACTGGGGTTTCAACGTAGTAGATAGTTTCGGTAGTTGGGATACCATCAGATCCGGTGAATGTGGTGACATCAGTAGAGAAAGTGCTAGTGATAGAGCCAGTCCATCCGGTGGTGGTAGTGGAGTTCACTCCCACAACTGGGGTTTCGACGTAGTAGATGGTCTCAGTGGTTGGAATGCCGTCAGATCCGGTGAAGGTGGTGACATCAGTAGAGAAAGTGCTAGTGATAGAGCCAGTCCATCCGGTGGTGGTAGTGGAGTTCACTCCCACAACTGGGGTTTCGACGTAGTAGATAGTTTCGGTAGTTGGAATACCATCAGATCCAGTGAAGGTGGTGACGATCAGTTAGAGAAAGTTGCTAGTGATAGAGCCAGTACCTATCCGGTGGTGGTAGTGGAGTTCACTCCCACAACTGGGGTTTACGACGTAGTAGACAGTCTCGGTAGTTGGAATACCATCAGATCCAGTGAATGTGGTGACATCAGTAGAGAAAGTGCTAGTGATAGAGCCAGTCCAGTCCGGTGGTGGTAGTGGAGTTCACTCCCACAACTGGGGTTTCGACGTAGTAGACAGTCTCGGTAGTTGGAATACCATCAGATCCAGTGAAGGTGGTGACATCAGTAGAGAAAGTGCTAGTGATAGAGCCAGTCCATCCGGTGGTGATAGTGGAGTTCACTCCCACAACTGGGGTTTCGACGTAGTAGACAGTCTCGGTGGTTGGAATACCATCAGATCCAGTGAAGGTGGTGACATCAGTAGAGAA